AAACATGACAACTGGCATTGTCGTCCTGAAAGTAACGGGGGTCCAACCCGTAAAACTGCCACAACGTACGAAGCACATTGTCATCCAAAATAGTGTAGTAGGCATCGGAGTTGAGCTTACCATGAATGGGGACCAAGGGTCCCAGGCCATACCAGGAGAAACACCCCCAGACCATAATTCCACCTCCGCCGAATTTGACTGTTGGCACAATGCATTCTGGCAGGAGACGTTCTTCAGGTAGACGCCAGACCCAGACCCTGCCATCCGTACGGCAAAGGGTTAATCTTGATTCGTCACTGCAAAGAACCCGTTTCCGCTTATCTACGGCTCAATTTCGATGTGCTTTGCACCACATTAACCGAGCAGCACGGTTGCACTTTGTGACCAAAGGAATATGGGCAGCAGCACGACCATGAAAACCAAGCAGAAGTGCTTCCTTACGGATGGTATTCATTGAAACAATACTCCCGGATGCCTGTTGAAACTCCTCGCGAGGGCTATCGGTTGGGTGCGGTTCTTCCGAATTTCTCTGAACAGCACTCGTCGGTCTCTATCCCCCAGTTTCGTTGGTCTGCCGACTCGGGGCACATTCCGACAATCACCGCTCACCTTCCACTTCTTAATCACATAGGCCACTGTCGATATTGGGTACTTCAGATCGCTAGATATGTCCCTTAAGGATCGGCCACATTTGTGATACCCGATAATTATACCTTTCTTGAAATCAGAGAGCTCCGAACTGCGAGGCATCTTGCATGCGACTAAAGCCGATGCTGTTTCCTACACGATATATACCGGCGGAGTCCGTGGCGTACCTTGGGACCGCAGATATCATCATTTGCATAGGTGTCCAAATACTTATTGGTAGTCAGTGTAGAACTCGTAAATATGTAGCCGCAGTTAACCGCAGCCATTGTGAATATTCAACACGTGTTACTTCTAGGCAAAAAATTTCTTAGATGCATATTCTGATTCACACATTATTGTGGGTGCCATCTCCACCTATTTCTCATCACATCTTGAAAACCTTCTACATCTTAAGGATTAATACAATGGATGAAAGTGAGAGGCAAGTAACATCTTAACAAAGCAGGAAAGCAAACAAGGCAGGAAAGTGTCTATCACATTCAGAAAGAAAGGCCTGGGAGAGTGTCATATGATTACAGTTCCCAGTGTTAGTTTCGACTTTCAAATCATGTTGGTTGGCTAAAGCGTTTACATAAGTAGCAATTATTGTGTAAGCAAGATCATGTTAAGATCGTATGACATGTTTAAATTTGGTTATAAAGCAGTTTAAAGGCATTCATTTTACGCAGTTACTATTTTTATGACAGAAAAGGGAAGTAGGCACACTGAAAATGTAGTGTTAAAGGACTATTGCAAATTACAGTTAGACGTATTTTTTTTAACTTACATATATACAGGATGCTTCTAAACTCAAGGTTATAAGTTAGGGAGGTAGAACACAAATGGGCAAGCACAAATCACCGCACAACTTATAAGGTATTTCTCCCGCTTTCCTAGCGGGCCTTCGTGGTGTGGTGATCTGCACGCTGGGCCGGTATTCCAGAGGTCCGTGATTCAATTCCCGGCGAAGGCGGTTGCTCATTTTTCATCTTTCCTGCTTCCAAATTACCTAATGTCTCTACAAACATAGTCGGAACTTAAGAAGTAAGGCACTAGAGGGTGGGATGTCCTCCGTCGTGAAGTGATGAGAAAGAAGTAGACAGAGACGGAGTGAAAGGACACTGCTGAAGTAAAAAAAGATTTAAAAGAAAGATTTTGTTGAACAAAATGAAACTAAATCTCCAATCACAGCAACTGCTCAAAATGCAACTTGCCAAGAGTAACGCAGGCTTGATATCGTCTTTGGACTAACTGCCATAGATTAGTGAACACTCCAGGCACCTCGCATTTGGTTCCAGCAGCGACAAATATCCGGCCAACAAGTTCCTCATTGGAATCCATGGGATTTCAATCGCAGATGAAACTCTTCATGCGACTCCAGAGGCAAAATTCCAGACATGATAGACATGGGCTGGTATGTGGCGGTTATCAGTTGCCCAGACATAATGGTTATGGATATTCCATTATCTCCTGTCACTGGAATGGGCATTCGAGTGAATAATACATATGCTTCAAAATCCGGATCCACGGTTTCTCTTACTAAAACTGCTTGTCAAATGGGACACGTGACGCATAATCCGTATTTGACAGCTTTTGAACCCTCTGTACATGATAAGGGTACATTCATTTGTCTCGAAGTGTTCACCACACGTCTGATGAGACACATTATCAGCATGCGACAATGTCCTACATTGAGGGCGCACTCTCACATGCTGCAAAATGTTTTCCGTTACGGGTGGTGTTTTTACACTCCGTCTATTCCCGATATCCTTCCTCCAAATTGAAAATGACCCTCTTCCGCAGAGTTGCTGGTGCATACTCTGAAAGGTTTTGGTATCTGGAACTCGTCTTGCTTTGGAAAACGCTCTTGGTACAACCTTGCAACTTCACTTGCATTGCCCTCTGCAGCGACATACAAGTAATGCATCTGTGCCTTTTCCTGATTAGTGTACGAATCCATCTCTTCGGTTATTCACAGCACAAAATAAAAGCCACTGTTGTGAACAGCATTTTTATTTGCCTTTGCGAATTACCTTGTAATGGTTACTATGAAAGCGCAGACGAGAATTGTAAGGTAGATCGTATGTGGATTTGTGCTTATCCAGTTGTATTCTATCACCCTGGGTGTATGCACACAGACTTAGTACAATATTATGTCTGTAGGACTCTGGGGAGGGAAGATAATTTTGAGCCTGGCGGTTCCAGAGCCCCGAGGAAAGATCGTTTCATGATGTTGGATCAAGAGGAAGTTGGCGAAGACTCGAACCTGTGAGGATAGAAGCAACTCTGCGTTCCGTAGGCATTTGGCCCGTCAGAGGCTGGGTAGAACCTCTGGTGAGGAGAGAAGTAATAGCTTTATCTAATGTGGTTGGCCCACAGTGGATGGGTTCTAGCTCGCGTAGTACTGGTGAGAGTATTTTGACAACCAGTCAGATCGCCAAGTTTCCTTTTTCCCACCACTGCGGTCTCTGAGCGCCAGGAGTGGTGACCTCGGTTTCCCAGTGTAACAGTGGTTAGACAGAATTACTTTAAAGTCTGACATTTCGGAATTGGGAGCCCCAGGGTGGTAGCATGAATAGCATACTTCCTACCTCACGTGAGGACTACCTCTCACCGTCTGGTTTGACCCACCTCCAGCCCAATGCGAAGGTTTCTCAGCTGAGCCAAACCAGTGCCTCCTAGATATAAAGCCGTCGGACTGGTCTGTGACGTCACGAGCACTAGGCCGTAGAATATGAAACGGCGGAACTTCCGATAGCGATTTCTCCGTGCATACGAGTATGAATTTGCGTTAAATAATGAACTCTCAGAATAATCCAGAAACTATATTTCCGCAATAAAAAATTTATTTTACTATCGGAATATCTTTGAACATTACAATGCAAGAGCAATAAACTCATTAAAGATGCATTAAAATTTCATATGTAATGTAATAAGATTTGATACTTAGTCCAGCAAAACTTGATCTTGAATATCGAATTTGGCTTTATAAAATGATTAGTAGAAGCTGAATTTTCAAATCATTCAATTAAAAATTAGTTCTGAAAACCAAAACTCCTCAATATCTTAAAAATTTCTGATATGTTGTTTTTATCTCATCTATAGACATAATATCATGTTTTCATAAAATCATATTCCTTGAAAATCAGAATTTAAAATTTCAGCAAGGGAAAATTTACATTTATTAGTCTTAAATATACTCTCAAATGTGTGGAAATTATAACATATATATATATATATATATATGATATAATTAAATAAATACTCTGGCTATGTTAAGAAAGGATTGGTGGACAGACTTCTTGATTTTCAAGTAGAGGATTATAAGGCAATTTTCCATACATTAAATAAGATTGCGGGAATTTTTCAACACAATGAGGTGTATTATTATATTATTCAGTAACTTGAGGTAACAATTTTGTCCATGCACTATTAGCCTGATAAGAATTTAATTTACAGTTTAATTATATTGTTTTTGAGTAACTCGTTCAACTTTACCATTAGTTTGAGGCCCGTTAGTAGTTAATAATTGTTTTACATTATGATTTCTTAAAAAAGTGCTTAAATTTGGAAGAAGCAGCATTTCTATCACTTAAAATTTTCTTTGGTACTTGAATTTGAAAAATTTGTCTTAAACTATTTATGTAACTATCTGTAGTTGCACTTTTTTTAGAAGCAAAAAAATCCATATTTAATGAGTAGCATGATCAATAATTAAGTGAATATACATTTTAATATAATTATAATAGTTTAAACCACCAACAGTATCAATAGATAATAATTCAAAAGGTTCACATTAAACCAAATCTCTTTTGTTTACTTTTCTTATTAAACTGACATACTTCGCAATGTTTACAAAAAATTTTAGCATCTTGGACAGACAATTCCTGACCAATAATATTGACAAGATTAATATGAGCCTTTTAAAGTAATTTAGTACAAAAAGAGATTGCTATTATGATTTTGTATAATCCTTGCTTTTTAATAGTTAACACATCATTAATTTCTTTATACTTAGGATTATATACATTATCTAAATTTTGATGCTCTTTAATTTCTTCTAATGAGAATAAATTAACTTCCAAAACTTAAATGTTGACAAATAGGATTTCTAGTTAAACATATCAGCTTCAATATTAGTAGAAACTATTTGCGATTTTATATCAAAATCATGCATAGATAATTTTAAATACCATCTAAATAACCTACCTGTAAAGATCTTTAATGTTCTTAAGCCAAACTAAAGCAGCGTGATCAGTGTGTACCGTAAAATAATTACTGAGTAAGTATTAATAAAATTTATCTGCATCACCAATACAAACATTCTAATTCAGTAATTGCATAATTTTGCTCATAAGACCTTAATTTTCTAGAATGAAAACCAATTTGGATGTAGGTTCCCATCCTGGTGCTTCCAACAGCTTCTTCAGATGCATCTACAAACACATAATTACATATGTAAGATATAATAAAATATGATGGCTATGTTAAGAAATAATTGGCGACCTTAAAATGACTATCCTAAATTTTATTTTCTCCCCCTCCCCAAGTTCATCTGTTCTCCCAAATTCAAGATCTTTCCAAATTATTCAATTATATTTCCGAATTTCTGGATTTACGCATCCATATTTCTAACCCTGTGATTAAAATATTATGCATGTAAATATATACACATAGTACCTACTACGTTTTCTCATCGTACAAACTTCTAATATATCACATATGTATAATAATAATACAAAGATTACTTAAAAGTAACATCCAAGCATACAGTTTATATTTTAAATGAAAAATATATTTTGATGTGAAAAAACATTAATATAAATCTAAATTAATTTGCTGGTATGTAATGGACAACTATTGCTGTTACCTTATACAAAATGTTTAATAACAGTTCAATAGATCAAATGAAGGTCTTCAAATATTATTTATTTATATAACATATTTAAATTACAAACCTATCAATTTTTAATGTTTTAATACAGAAACAAGAAATTTAAATTACAAAAATAATAAAATGTAAAATTACAAATACACTTACTAATACATGTTTAGGTAATTAAAATTAAAAATGCATGTTTAGAGAGCACTTAAAATTTAAAAAGTGAAATGCACTAAAATTATTTTCAAGCCAAAAAATTATATTGGTACATTATGCATAATATATTCTTTGTTAGTTTATGGCTTACACTAGCAAAGTGTTTTTAGTTTTCTTTTATCTTGAATATTTAGAAACAGCTGTCATTTTTTGAAATGTACAGTAATTATTTAAAAGAGTATTTGTACATGAGTATATATAGCAGTTGCAATAATTTTACGTGACAAATGGCTTTTTTGCAGGAAATAATTTTAATTTCCTTACACATAAGAATTTCTAATGTCATAGCGGATATTAAATTACATTGGTTACATACTTGGAGGAAACTATTTTCATATTCAGGGCTTATGAGCTTCTGTACGACAATAAAATTATGCAGTATTACATTAATAATATCATCAGCGAGATGGTCTTTGTGTCAGTGGCTGGGAGTTAAGCTCCGAGAGTATCTCTATTCGGGACAAGCCGACTGTGGGGCTTGAATTTGCTTATGTCCGTTGCCCTAAAGCCCTAATACAGAAATCTGTGTTCCCTCGGGACTCTGATTATTAGTCCAACCAGCAAAGCATTAGAAATTTCATGGCATAACCACAAACTGAATTCTCGAAGTGTTTCAGCTCTTGATAAGAGAAACACCAATGAGATCAATATGCAGGCAACTTTTTTTGGAACATATATACAAACGGGTCAAAATCAGCTGATCATGTGGAGCAACTCGTAATAAGAGACCATCTTCAGCCAAGTAAGCAATTAAAGGCAATTTATCAACCATAGTTTCAAGATCAGCCTTTGTGACCTTAATATGCTTGAAATTATGGAAATATTTTACAATAATTTCATGAAAAGTATCATTAAACAGATCAAAAGAGTTAGAAAAATCATCCATAACAATTGTCTCTTTACTTTTAGATAACATAGTTAGATTTAATACAGAAGATCCATGTAATTTGTTTTCTACTTCAAAAACCTGTTGAAGTGATGTATGATAATGTGTTTCAGTCATCCAGCGATATAAACTAAAATGATGCTCTAATTCGTCTGTCTGGGTTTTACCAGGCAAAAAATAGGACATGTTGAGTTCACCTAGATAATACATGTTGTTGTTAATATAAGAGCAGAAAGTGTCTCTTTTGTCAACCTACTTGTATTACTCTTCATGTTCTTTCGATTTTCATCAACCAAATCAAAAAGAAAATTATTTAAAAATACAAACTTTCTTGTCTGATTCATTCCATACTAATGGTTTACAGAAGTCATCACAAAGAATGTAATCCCCTTGTTTGGTGTTGGTTTTTAACATTCATTATTGAAAACCACGAAGAAAATATTTTAAATATATGCAGATGTTTCGTGAAAATTTAACAAATTATGCTTTACTCCTAAAAATTCTTTCAGGCCTTGTGATGTTTGATCGTTGAAAATTTGTAAAGCCAGTTTCACACTTTAACGTTCTAAATTTGTAGGCCACAGAGCTTTGCGAGATATTGTATATCCATATTTTAACAAATTACCACTTTCAGCTTCATACATATTTCTTAAAGTAAGAAATGAAGAGGTACATAGATTATTTGAAGACAAGTCAAAATTTGGAAAATACATAGCTTGTTCAGGGTTTTTCTGGTTTAACCAGTTGTTACGAACACTTTTAATAATACGAACAGAATCAACTGCATAAAACAATGGACGAGTTGCATCAACAGGATGAGGAAATACAAAATTTGATAATGGATTATTAAACAGAGATATACATCTTCTATTAATGGAATTATTGTCACTAACAACAACAATTACTTTGAAACCTATTGCTTCAAGACCAACAATTATTTTTTTCAAAACAGTGAACAAAACTTCAGCTGTCATTTTCTTCGATGGTAATACATGGACAACATCTTTAAAGCAGCACAAAATACTCTGTATCATAAATACATGTGCACTAGAAGCTAAGTTATCAACTTCCTGGCCAATTCCAACAATATCTCCACTTTTGTAGTCAAGAAAAGGTCTGATGTGAATTTCATACATCATTAATGAAAAATATACTCTTTCAGATAGCAAACCTTTTGCTTAGCATATGCCAAAAACAACATATCATCTGTTTCCTTTTGGGGATTTACATTTAATTTAGAACTTATTTTATGTATAGTACTTGGATGAGGCAAAATTAAATTACCAGATTGTCGGACAAATTTATATGCTTGGGGGGGCGATAACAAATAAAACATAGAAGCTAAAATTAAGGTATTGGATGAATATGACGATTTGAGGCTTACATTTACAGAGAAAGTTGTTCAATCATGAACTCAAATAAAATTTATCACCTTCATTTGTGAAACTTAAAAGATTTCATCAGGTTGATTATAATTTCAATCGAATTCATTAAGTCTTTAGTTTATAACATTTTCATATGATCAAGTATTTCATAAATTCATTAATTTACTTACTTTTATAGGTTTATCTCATTATACTACTACTGATATGAGTCATAACTTATTTTGAAACGATACAGATAATAAAAGATCTGCAGTAATGTGGACTGCATAAAGCAATTTTACACATCCATCAGTGCATTTTAAATTCAAAAACATCAAGATATTGTCTTTTGCACAACGTTCCAAAATTAGAAATGTATATTGCGTACAACAGTTAAAAGTTCATTAAAGTCTGAAAATGTCCTCGATTTATATACTCAGCAGATGATAATTTACTATGAGCAAGCTTTCATCATGAGGTTTGCTTCTTTCCATTTTTTTCTCATTCGGCCTTTTCTCGAACTACCAGCTGGTAAAGATAAATACGATGGAGCCATCAAATATGCTAGGAAAGCCCCTTTTTAGTTTTGGTTCTCTGCAGTGAGCTTTAATGATTTTCCCATTTTTTCATCGAAAGCTGATGTTTTCAGATGAGGTATCAGGTTGAAATTTATGGCACACCTATTAAAGTAAAAGGAAGACATCATGTAACTAACTTCTTAAAACTAAAGCAACTGGTAAAGCAAGATCGGATCACTTTCCTTATAAATAAAAACATTCAAGTTTTGGTTAATGCTTTGGGCGGTTAAATTTAATGCATATATGCAAATTAAAATTTTCTTTCAAATATTTAGGATCAGTTAACACTACATATAAAAAATATGATCATGACAGCATACGACTCCCGCCTATCTATGGCTTATACAGCAACGAGCTTCGAAGTATCATTTGCCCTTGAGTGTTGTAAATTAAAGTAATTTGTTGATTCATTAAATAGAAAAAACTATACACCAGAAACCCTATTATACATGTTGGCGGGAGGTAAAAAATTATAGCTTGCAGAAAGTTTCCATAGCAGACTAAGAATATTCTACCAACATTATTGAATTTAATAAATTAATTAGAATTACACCTACCCGAGAATATGGAGTTGCTGAGAAGAGAGTCCTTCCTAGGTATATTTCTAGCCACCTCTCTCTAAGAGCATCATTTTTGGGAAGGAAAATGTATGCACCTTTTTCAGTACCTTTAATTTCCCCGACAACCAGTTACACAGCATTTAAAATGGCATATTTTCTGTAAAAAACAATACAAAAATCAGTTATATAAATACTAAATGTTATAACAATTTAAATTTGCATAATTATACATGAAATCGATTACCCATAACCACGGTGGAGAATTTCAAATGTCATTCAAACCTTGAATGAATGAGACTTCAAGAAATTCGTATCTGAAGAACACTAAGCTTCTATTAAGATATCTATTATATACTGAAATTATACTCGCGTCAATGATGATAATTTTGATATTAAAACAGCGAAAACAGTCAAATGAAAATAATTATCAAACTTCAGGTGAATCATGTTTAGAATATTTAGAATATTGAACAGGAAAAATATATACCTGAAATCTGAAGAAAGACTTTGTTTGGTAAACTAAACACTATTTATGGAATGTTAAGATTGAATTTACTGCTTTAATATTTAAATAATTGTATGCAAATACACAAGATAAATTTAGAAACACAATAAAATACATCTTTCAATAGTGTAAAGTTTAATATATAATTAAAACTCACAATAAAACAAACGTTTTAATAGACTGTTCTTCAAATACTGAACGCTTTGATTACATACTTTAAAAAGTTTGCCATTCTCACTTATACTTACACATTATACAATGCACTCACATTTATTCTACACACTCACATATTAGCGTACATACGTTTGTTAACTGATATACGTAATTATTAATTTAACTAGATTTATTGTATAGTTTTACTTTCAATTACATTTTTAAAAACTATTAAGCTTTATATAAATGATTAGTTATTAAAAATTCGTAACAGTAATGAAATAATAAAAAAACTTTTATAAAAGAAAATACGTAAACATTAGATACTGCACACATAAAATTAAATTGGTGAT